GGCTGTTTTTCTCTGAATTCTTTGTTATTTATCAATACCTTTTAATGGTCTGGTACATACATTGAACACACCTCAAGAGTGGTCTCAGGAAAGACACGAAGGTGGGCATTTTTATTTCCCAACAGCAAGAAGTGATTTGTACAAAAAAAATTGAAAGTTGCAATCACTCCTTATTTAAAGAATGATTCTTGCTAGTACTACAGTGCCTTCAGACACAAAAATCAAACACTGGTAAATATCCCTTCCAATGGTAATGTACTTGCTAGTTTAATAAAACTATGCAGCATGCACATATGCTGCAGAAATGAGTAACTGTCCTTATTTCTTAGACATCATTACTGTGTCTAAAGTGTATGTCCTAAACTGGCTTCCCATTTTGCGTGGGAAATAAGCTAGCTAATGCAGAGAAAGCCCCATAGGCGATCCCATACTGCTGCCACAGCTGCCTTCCACTATGTACAATTACATCTGTCCCTGCCCTGTGCTTTTTGCCTTGATCCATTTAATGAAGTTCCAATGAAGCATGGATATTGCACATGCAACATGCAGTAACAAAAAAAATCACAGCAGAGATTTAGAAGTGCATTACAAGACTGAAGGATACTGGGCATGAGTTAGAAAACAGCTCCTCGAGACTTCAGCAACACCATCAGTAAGTAGTTTCTTCATTACACATGTAATGCCTAACTGAATATTCTCCAAAAGACACTTTGTAGACACACAGACTAAACAGGAAAACATTTTAAATCTTTCTTGTTCTAGAGGGAACTCGTGGGAGCGAGATATTTTGACATTCTTTCTGCTTGTTCCCTGATTGTGGGTTTCCCCATCTCTTCCTTTCAAATTAAATGATACATTATGTATTTCTTCTGGCAGGCTGCTTTCAGCATACTGCTGTGGTCTAACACAGACAGCAGAGTTATGTTACCGAAGGGCTCAATTATTCCCCCACACCAACGTGCAGTTTCTCGGAAGTGTTACCCTAGTCTCAGCTCATTACTACCTTCTCTTTGTTTTCCACACAGGAGGAGTCAGGCATTTCCTCTCGATGCCTGGAGGTTTTGAGCCTCCCCTCTGCTTTACGCTCAGGATGAATGACACAACGGAGGCACATCCCCTCCCTGTCCATAGAATAGGAGAGTGAAGAGCTAATTCATACAAGGTGCTTAATATGAACGGGACTAGAGACGGATGAAAGGAATCCCAGCTTTGCTGACTCTCTTCTTTCAGTCTGCTCAGTCTGCACCTTCTTACCCTTGCCTGCAGGGGTTTGGTTGGGTTTGTTTTTTCATTTAAAAGCTGAGACAAATGCTTCCATTACATACAGCTGGAAAGGCATCTGGATCAGTCACTTACAGTGCGGACTCTCTATTTGGTTGAACTGCAAACTGAGGAGGCTGTAAGTACATCCTGCCCTGTGCACTTAAATTCAGAAGACTCAAAGATTCCTTCTTCAGGCACTACTGTAGCAGCATTGCCAGCACAGCTTTTCAGCTACCACAATGAGAAACACCCGTAGGAAAACCCAGAGCTCCATAATGCAAATATTGCCTTTGGTTTAGTCATAAACAGAAAACAGTCACAGGCACAGAGAACACTGTTGTGATTCACTCCTTTCCAAAGCAAACACAGATTTCTTATTTAAGGAACAGCAGATTTTTAGGGCCCTCAATTAAAATTACTTGTTTGAAATTGAAGTTAAGCAGCCAAAGCTCAGAAATTACAGATTTCAAGTTCCTCCTCTAGCCCTTTTTTCCCCTTGTGGGAAACCATTCTGTACAATGAAAGGAATTGTGTAAAAAACAGTGCATGACCAGACATCTAAAAATAGAAATGCAAGATGCCCAAAGCAGAGCCTTGTGCTTAACAACTGCTATTTGGCTTTATAAACCATCAGGTTCTTCCAGGGCAGTTCCATATGCTCTTTCCCACTTCTGCAGAAAAAAAAAATCCTACAGTCTTCAGTCGTACTCCACACCAGCCATTTGCAAGATTTGAAATGGGCAAGAATGTGCCTAGTCCTCACAGGGGATGGCTCTTGGTGCTGCTTGGAGGAAGCCTGCTCTAGTTCCTGCCCACGAAGGCAGCAATCCTGCTCAAAGGAAGGAGCAAAGAATGCCTTGCAAGGAAGTTCCTTGTTCACACAAGAACCAAACCTCTTACAGGAAGAGGGTCGTTCTGCAGAACATTTATCTAAAGCACATCAGCCTTCATGGGTTACCTGGAGACACAAACAGCCCACTGGTGTCAGCACACCATCTCAGCAAGTCTCAGCTGGGTAGACTGACTGCTCACATTTTGGCATCCATTAGGCTTTTACTACAGCCTGCATCAGGCAGATCCATCTTATCTGGTTTGTGCCTGGTTCCCCACTGGGCTCCTTTGTTTCTCCTGCTCCATCCTTAAGCATGCTTTGTAATTCATATGGTTTCTCTGGCACTCATTCTGCATGATCCAGTGGGGTTCAGCTGGTATGTCAAATGCTACTTCTTTGAGCTGTTCTTTTCTCAGGTCAACTCCTTCATTAACACTACAAGGCTTCTCTGTTCCAGGCCAAACAGCTTAGTAACAACAGTCACACTCCTAGTTTCTCTTCCCATAACATCTCCTCTACAAAATATTCTGAACGCTGAAGAAAGCTTCCTTACTTAGTGTGTTGGAGAGGACACAAAAAATAACTACACATTTTCTCTTATTCTTGGAATAGCATCATGAGGAGAGGAGAGGGAGAGGGGGAATACGGGACTAAAGATGAGATAATCTAGATGAGATCCCAATTTTCCCACTCCTCTCCTCCTCCTCCAGTAACTGGTATGTGCTTTCCTGTTCACAGTTTGCTGTTGCCTTCTTGACCAGATCCACTGAACATTCAAGTAAGAGATGCTGCTTTGCAGGCTGCCAGCCTCCTCCTGAGCACTTCAAGAAAGACTGGGAAAGAGAATATTCCTCATGAGAACTCAGCTGGCTCTAAGCAGTAGCCCATGAAAGACATGAGAGGCTGCAGAGCTCACCCCAAGCTGAATTTAAGGACCTGCTGTGGTTGGCACACACGGTGGATCTCTTCACAAAGTAAAACAGTATTAACTACAGCTAATTAACACTGAAGAGCTCTGGGCAGTCTGCATGGAAAGGTCAATTTTCAGACACATTTAACTACTTAAACTGTGATTTTAGGTAGTATAGGCATGCCTTGACAGGTGGCACACTGCAATTTTGAGCTTTGCTCTCATATCCAAATGCCAAATGGCACTCACTGGCAGTGAACGATCCTGGCTCAAAGTCAGAGAAAGTCTTCCCAAGCCACTTTGCAACGAAACTATTCAGTTGTTCCCAATTCAACTTCCAGTTCATTAAGCCTGTCTGCTGGGCCCCTGATATTTCATCCATCTAGCACGTGGCTCATATTGTTTCATCTGTTTCCAAGATTTACTTCAACTGCCTCGGGATGGTGATGATCGAGAGGGACTCAGCAGTAGGTAGCAACTGCATAAGGCAAAAAACCCTCAAAAACTCACATAATTTAAGTAGGAGAGTGAGATTTCTTTCTTCTATTTGTTTCAAATCCTACAGTGATCTATTTAAACACAAAATGATGATCCGCAAAGCTAATTTTCAGAAGGTAGAATGCAAGTACCTATCTCTGACACAGAAGCACCATTGTTCACACTGGGGGCACACAAGGAGAAGATAATACTTGCACCGGTGTCTTAGAAATTGAAGCAAGCCTCAGAACCACACACAGATGATCGTGTATCCAATCATCATCATCATCAACAACAAGAAATTATGAAGCTGATAAACAAATTCTCTTCTCTTCCTTTCCAGCTGTCTTTTCTTACAATTTGCCTTTGTACTGAATAGGCATCTCTTCAGGTATTACAATACCAAGCTGTTTTAGGTATTTACTACTGTTTTCTGCCTACATAACTCTGCTTAGGACATAGGAGTGTTATCTTCATCCTCACCATACAGGAAGGAAAGTGTTTACCACAACCTGTTCAACATCCACCAGGGAGTCTGTCACAGAGTCAAGACTTGAGCCTACACGTGTTATATCCTACTCGAATCCTTCCATGTCTAAGTGCTTTCAGAGAGCCAGTCACCTATTTTCTCACACTCAACCTTGTTGAACACTCATGTTGATTATACTCTCCTCTACACGTTGCCCATTACGTGCTCAGCCCTTGAGCCTGGGAAGCTGCTTATTCCAGTACTGCAAAACTCCCATCACCTGCAATTGCAAAGTGGTGTCTTTGAAAGGTCACAAATCCAACCAACAAACCCAGGCAGCCAACATGTGTAGCATGACCAAAATTTAAAAGTGGTTTAAAAGCTTTGTGGGTTTACTTTCATTTTGCTTCCTACTCTAGGGACAACAACAACAGCAACTGGTCTCACAAAAGCCACACCACCAAGGAAGGGGATGCAATTGCCATTCCTTAAACAGGAGTGTCCTGACAGAAGAATACACTGAGAAAGTAAGGTCCCTTGTTAAACTGAAGGGACAGCATTTCCTAAATAAGAAAAATATGAAGACCTGATTAACTTGCTTCTCTACTGTTCTACTGTGATAGAGACCATCTCAGTACTGGCTACTTGCATGGCCTGATTCATGCAAGGATATTTTCTGTGGAAGGAGTCTTTTTTTTTTTTTTTTCCCAAAGACAAGCTTTTTGAGGTTGAAAAATTTTAAGAACAACCTCGATTTTCGAAGCTATGGAGGAAAAGAAATAATCTGAAAACATAACTAAGCATTACCCAAAAGATCTGTGAACCAAGCAAACAACTCCACATGCCTTCTTTCTGAAAGTCTTACAATACTGCAGAACATGACTCCAAATTTCTTAATATCTAGATTTCATAGCATCATTCAAATAATGATATAAAGAAGTACCAAGTTTTTAGACAAATATCTGTAAAAAAGAGAAAGGTCCTTAAACTCTATGGCCTACTATAGAGTTGTAACAAATTAAAAAGACAGAGATTTGTTGGATCCTTACCTCGAAATTCGAGCCCTCTGAGCTGAAAGGTGACAAGGCCATTTCCAATTTCGATCAAGTGCACAAAGGCATTTAAATAATCTGATGCCAGGATAAAACAGTCCCCTGTGTTGTAGTTTCCCCAGCGGCCCAGAATCAAATCTCCACAAAGAGACTCCTGCAGAGATCTTGTCAAATGCTCATAAAAAATGGAGTTGAGATTATTGTCATCATTTCCTACAAACAAAGCAGCACACATTTGTAAAGAATAAATTTATAATATACAAAGTCATTCTGCATAAAATTCCATGTTCTTTTTCATTCCTGATTAATGCCTTCCTGATACTTTATACAATCTATACTTCCTAGGTGTCCCTTCAGAGACTTAGGCCTGAATTTTTTGTTTAATATGAGTGCTATTGCAAACAAAAGATCAAATTATCGATAACACATACTTCAGACTTAATAAAATAACCTCTGTGTTTTGCAACAGTAAGAATTTTTTGGCTACATTGAAAGTCTCTGCAATGCTAAGTTAATGTCTGTATACTGTTTTTAATTTAAAGAAAACAGAAATCATTATTATTTCAGTACATATGTTTAAATTTGAATATTTTTCTGAGAGTTTTAAAGACTTTGGTCACACAGCTTCCAATGATTTTTGTGGGGATTTTTTTCTTTTAGACCTCCAGGAATTTTTCCAGGCTTTGTTCATGAAGTATCTGCTAGTAATTTGGATGAGGATATTTATTTTAAAAGAGTTTACTTAGTATATTGAGTAAGAATGAAACATTCACCACTAAAATTGTTACCACTTTAAAAACAGTAGCTGTCCAATTATACATTGCTTGGACCAAATGGCCAAAACAACCCATCACAGACTAGAAGTTTCATCTCATAAAGGTCTATGCCATTTAACTGGATTAAAAGGATCACTTTATGATGGTGATTTGTGAAAGGGACTGAACCTTTCACAAATGCCAAGACAGTGCCACATAATCCAATGTGGTGTTGTCTTCTGTTCGCACTCTTTTACATAATAGATGCTTGACCTATGAACTGCTTTTTTCTTCCATAATGCATCAGTGTCTCACTCTCAACACTTTAAAAATGCTTTTTAAATGAACACATGTACAAACCAACACCTCGTGGGTTTATTTGTATGAGGGTGTATGTGAATATACATGTACATATGGTACCCTGTGTATGTTTAGGAGCAGATCTAATGTGGAGAAAAAAAAACAAAAAAAAACAGAAGAGGAGACTTCCAGAGGCTATAGCTTCCCCTGCAAATTGCTCTTCAATGCAAGAGGAGTGGGTGTATAAGTGTGCTGCTTTTCATCCCCGTGGCCATTAAGCAGCCAGCCCTGGTAGGTATGTCCACGTGTGTGTGTATGCCCATGCAGATAAACTCAGCTATACACCTCCTGGAGTATATGTGGTCAAAATTTAAACAAGTCACGAAATTAATCTTTTAGGCACACAAACAAAAGTAATGTTTTGCTTGAGCTACAGGATTTAAAACATAATTAACTTACTGCATTTATAATAATGCTAAAGGTTATTGCTATCAGATGACAGAATGGCCTTGGGAAACAGCCTAGCTCCCTGCCTCGAAATGATAAATAATTAAAGAGCACTATATATGCTTCAAATTACTAATACCTCTCTTGCCTACTTAGACACCCTGGATTTCACCCCTTTCTGCTTGAAGACATGTATTTGTTCATGCTACTGATGTAATGGATAAGGATAAAGGAGGAGAGGGCATAACAGCAATAATTAAAATGTAAACTTCTAACTTCACAATACAAGCCCCTGCCATCTCAGTAGCAAAATAAAATCAGCCACAGAACACTAAAGCAGAAGAACTCCATATATGAAACCTTGGCCTCTCTCACTGGGACTGGGATTTGGTATGAGAGACTGGTATCGATTTCCCTGAAAAGGACTCTATCCCACCAGGTACTGCAGAGTGTCAGATGAGGTACCACACACTATCTGTGTCCACTGACCTGCCAAAAACTGCTCTCACCTCCCAGTCTCACAGGAACCACTTCTGTAGCCTGGAGAGGTGCTTTACATGGCCATGGACTGGTACTCAGCAGAACAGCCCACCATCTTTCCTACTTTTTTCTCTTGCAAATTTTTCAATATCCCTTTTCCCCTTCTCCAAAAAGGTTTCTCTCCAGGGAAGAGGAGATACCTGTCAGCCCAAACTGCTCAGCAGTAGGGGCACCACTAGTTTGCTGCTTTTTTCCAAAGCCTTTCCATGCCCACAGATGACCTCTGAGTCCAGCTAGGGTGTCTGCTGCACGTTCCACACAAACAGCAATGTTATGATTAACCCAACAATTCCCAGCCCAGCACCATCTGATCAGCAACACATAACGGAAGAGCAAATTTACTTGTCAGGTCCCATGACTTAAACTGGTGCTCTGCTACATTCAAAATGCTTTGGTTTGTTCATACAGCATTTAAACCTTTTGCATCTCTTTAGCTTCCCCAGCAAAGACTCACCAGTGTAAATACATCACATTTTGCAAATCAAACAAGACAGCCAAACTCCCAGGCCATACCTGCATCCTTTTCGATCTGAATTGCCAGTCTGGTGTTGGAATGGTCCGATCTTTTGGTGCTGGAAATAAAGACATGTTGTACAGCCAGTTCTTTTTTTAAAAAAAATACAATTCTCATAATAAACACATTGATTTTCTTTTTAACATATATCCTCATTTTGTGTTTATATCATTATGCAGTTCACACTCTAATCCATTCATCAGGCATACACAGTTATTTCAGGGCAGTATTGTTATGAATGTTGTAGCTTATCAGCACACAGAAGTGTCTGTGGCCTCTCCTCCTTTTCCTCAAACTCTTTCTTCCCCATCTTCCTTCTTGTTGGGCACAGTACATTCAAAATTTGGCATCTGTGATAATACATAACACTATGTACTTAAATAATTGAACTGGCTTCAGAAACACATCAGTCAGGTGCCACCAAAAGAGCAAATAGAAAGAATATTTAATCAGTCTTTCTTCCCTTCTAAGCCTTAAGGGAAACTGTTGGGCTCAAGGAGTTTTCTTTGTGCCAAAATATTTTTTGTGGATGTGTAACATCTATGGGAAAACAACAACAAAAATCACTTTACTTAGTTTAGCTAGACAGTAAAGAGAGTGTCCCTGATCATTCTTATTCCTTGAAAAAGAGTAAATTACAGGGCCCTAGTGCATACAGACAGTAACCCTGTCTCCTCTATGAATGGCACATTCTCTTCTCAGTATTTTGATTGTAGCGGTGGAACAAAATTACACCAGGAAAAATGGTCACAAAACAGAAAGCAACTAAAAGGTAGATTGGATTGAGCTTTTACTACTACTTGTAACAACACTGATAGAGTTTGAAAATAAGGAATGAGTAAATCACTCTGGGCCAGCATGTGTTAAACAGAAGGGAGTGATTTTCTGTGGTGACCAGGGATATTCAAGTCCAAAGAATCTCCCAAGCCTTCAGGGTACAAGTGAAAGTCTGGCCAACTGAAACACTACAGTAAATATAAATTTCTCAGAAACACTGCTCTAGCAGGAGCATTTAGTGATTTCAGGACACTTTATTAAGAATATTGCCTCAAGAGTTTTGCCCTCAGCCACTAGCCTTAGCAGAAGATCCGTCAACCAAATATGTAAATATTATCATTTCTTGGAAAATGGGGTTAAAGCAAAAAACAGGGAAAGACCAAGCTCTTTGTCACAAACAACAGTCAGTGTAAGGTCATGTGTGACAGTGGTAAGAGCCTCATCTGTGCAATAGCCTGTAAGCACAGGGGAAAAGCACCACAGCAGCACCTCCCCTGGCATAGGAATCGAGGAGACACCCAGGCATGGTCCTCATTGTGTCCTTGGTCAAATGGTGATGAGGGTGGCATGGCTAGGTGGGACTGGCTAGGGTCTTGCTCATGAGGGTGGGGAGCACAGGTCATAGTTGAACAGGCTGATGGCTAGCCAGTCAACTTAAAAAGTGCGAATTTAGCTATTCACTATGAGAACTTAAGACATGCCCCAAGGAGACTGCACCAAAGAGGGTATCAGTTATATGGAAGGTTTTCAAACAGCTTAAATAACACTGAAAAAGGATGGCATAAACCCAAGTCTCTGAAACACAGCAGAGACTCTTTGAGAGTCTTCATGTCCTCATCTTAGTACTTTGTTCCCAGGATTTCATTTGTCAATACACAGGTTATTTAAAAGGTTGGAAGTTTCTGAGCTGAAGCTATAAGCTCATGATGAATCCAACTGTGGGAAGGAGGCCACTGACATCCCTAATGTTAGAAAGCCTCTTCATCCACTCCCTACAGTCTCCCCCAAAAAGCTGTGGAAAACTGACCAACAGAAAAATTGCACACAGGGTTCCATTTAGTGGACAGAAGAGGAATAGAATTGCTTTAGTTCCCTACCAAAACCAACTGATTTTTGCTTTAAAAAGGAATGTTCTCTATTTTGCAAAAAGCACAATTAGAGAAAATAAGAGTGGTAATTCAAATTATTTGTAATTAATATTAGGATATTATCTACATATATTAACAACTTATTTGATGTATTATTTATCTGCCAGCTTCTGGTTGGTTCAGCTTATTGTAACTGCAATTTTCATTTCCTATGCAACAGAAAATGGCAGTGGGGGAAGGGCCTTCTAAGCAGTTTGGAATATAGAGAATGATTTTACTTCAAAAAGGTTGTCAGAATTCTTCCAGTCTGATACATATCCACCTGCATATGCAAGAGTAAGCATAAACATTATGTTAGGGAATTAAATCAATTTTCTATTCTCTGTAGAGAAACACTGCTGATTTCCAAATGCACACTTTAACATTATGAGACTCTTTATTAACTTCCAGTCCCTCTGAAATCAGTGGTATTAAGAAGTACATATTAATACTGTTCTTTACCCTAATTTTTACCAACCTGTAAAGCATTCCTGTCCTTGAGGCATATTGAGTCCCATACAAATCAACTAATACCCTAGAAAATTCTGATCTGTAATACATAGGAATCCTTTTGCCCAGCATGCAGCTCTGGCTCCGTTTCTTTCCCCCCTTTTTTGTTTAGAGAGAAAGATGCATGAAGTAATCAGGGAAAATCACAAGTGCTTCAGACACTCCAAAACAGATAACGCAGCCTGACTGGCAAGAAAGGAAGGAAATAGATCTAACAAAAACAAAACAAAACCAGGCTCAGTTGAGGCTTTATCCTCCATTCCAAGCACAGTAACAATTGTGTAAGCAGCTAAAACATGGGTCTCGGGACATGAGACAAGATTTACCTTTTCAGACACTATCAGAAAAACACAAATATTTATACAGGTATTTTGAAATATAATTTTATTCCATTTTTTGAAGACCAAAGGTAATATAGCCAGTTTGCAAAGCAAACTTCTGTCCTAAAATTCAGTTCAGTTGAGTAAATGCAGTCAAGTAATCCATTTTGGATTTTGAAAGTCTCCTACAATTATTAGTAACCAAAGCTATGTTTGTATGTTCTTGAAAGCCATGGGAATTTGCATAGGATTAAACTATAATCCACTGAGCCTAACAATCAAACCAGCAATGCCTTTACTCCCGGGCTTTTCCCTCTCAACTAGGACCTCTCCAAATGAACTTTTGGGATTAGTGGGTGATTTGGGCTTTCCTCCAGTGGCCTCTTCCTTTAAATTTGGTTGTTACCACTCATCCAATGTGATAATTAGTTCAGTAATTGAATTTCTTCCTGAATTGCATTATTCTATGCAAACCAAGAGCAAGTCCTTCGGCAATTGCCCTAGCGAGCAAGTGATTGTGTTTGAAAATCTTCAGCCAAGTCTTCAGCAATTTTAAAGTCAACATCCTACTTAATTCCTGAAATATCTATTTCAGGATCTTTTAATCCACCATTTACATGGACACTGAGACAACCCACTGGTTTGGGTAGCACTGTTCAAGCCATTATAACCATTGCTTCCCTTCGCAAAAAGATTAAGTCACTTCCTATAATCCCTTATCCAAAAATACTGCCTGAAAAGATTTTCTTCTCCCACTTCAGTCTCCTAGTTTCCTTGAAAAGGTAGAAAAAAGGTTGAAGGGGATTTAGGCAGTCTGGGGAACATACAGTGTATGGTGAGAATCTGGCAAACTGAGGGGAAAGAAAAAAAATCATTGCTGTGTTTATTTCCAGAAGATCAAAATAAAATTCCACCTCTTTTATCTGCCTTGATGACGCTGAGATTTGCCCCAAAACACAAATTCAAGACTTCTAGGATTCCTGCCGTGAAAAATGGGATCCTTACTTTGAAAGAGAACAAAACAAAGAAAAGCAGTCCCCCTCTGGGAGATGCAGAGATGCCTTTCTAGGGTGGATCCAAAGTTTTTCTTTGTCTGTGTCAAATGAATTTTAATCCGTCTTTCCATGACATCTAACAGGCAAATCTAACAGAGAGAAACTTTACTATGCTGCAGCCCTATGATTATTCATGGGAATCTGGAAAAAAATCCTCAGTATTTTCATGTGAATGTCTGATGCTGCTGGCACTATAAACGGAAGGCTTAGCACTAAAAACACTGTAGCAGTAGGCTACGATGCGACGCTGGGGGGAGAATGACATGGCAGAATAAGCAGGCACCCATAAATATTTGAAGGACACCAGAGGCAAAAATGATGGTATTAATTGGAAGGCTAAGAATACTCAAGTAGGTTTAAATCAATTTAACCTAAAACACAGAATGATTTCAGTGTGATTGTAACAGCAAAGGCTGACAGCCCCTTCATGCGCAACCATACCCAGGTTTTCTGGGCAGCTGAATGGAAGATACACCTTAGGTTTAACTCATACTGATAAAGAAAGATCTCTTAAAAGTGAAAAGCAATTTCTCCTTCCTGATCACTCACTCTGATTTTTATTTTTCATGCTTTTTTCCTCCTCTCCTATCCTGACTGGGCCAGTGTTTCATCTAACAATAATACAAAGTGGCTTTGATTGCACACTAGGAAACTGGGGGAGGGCTAAAGTATAAGAAGATCCCACTTGTTAAAGACAGCACTGTTGAAGTATCCTTTTAAAACATAGAAAGATCTTATTATCCACAATGCTTCTTGTTCTTAGGGTCTCTTTATTTTTTTAGAAAGGTTTTTATAACTGATTCTGAGAGTTTCTTGAGTTTATTTGGGGTCTTTTTGTGGTTTTTTTTTTAATGTTTTGGAGGGTTGGTTTGGGGTTTATTTTTGTTGTTGTTACCTATTATTTTTCTTAGTAGGTGCTAAAACCAGAATTGAGGTAATTTGCTGAGATACTACTCTGCATGCTTTTCTGGCATATTCTGGCACCTTTCCTGAAGATGAGGTTCTATGCTTCTGCAGCAATACAGATGAAAATGCAAGATGTGAATTTGAGATCAAAAGCTGAGTGCCCAAACATGGACTAAACAGTGCACCTAAGTGCTCTGACATTTCAAAGGTTTAGCTGGGGAATTCACCTCTTATTTGCAAGTCAGGTAATTTAAACATCTGTGTACTTTAAAATATTCACTAATGCTTTACCAAAATGTCACAAATATTCCTGCATTTGTCTTATTTAGCTACCGCACTACTTAATTTCTTTTCCCCTGTCCA